GATAGGATCCGTTGTACGGGTAGGCAAGAGGTTATGTTATCATAGTTTACAAGAAAACACAGGACCTAAGCAAAGATTGCATTTTGAGGACATGTTGCAGTGGCACCTCGCGTCTCATCATAGTGGACACGTAATGAATCTGTGCATGAAAATGTCCAGACATAACCTGCGCTCTGAATTCTGCACCTAACGGATAGTAGAGTAACGGATTAATCTCCCACAGTCTGTCGTGGAGAAGACGCCCCTACAACTGTTTAAGAAAAGGCCTGGATAATTATGTGTCCCCTGTTTTTCCTCGACCCTCTTAACCCCAACTAAACAAAATAGTTATTTGTAAAACTAATGCTATTTACTGTTTGTGAGTAATATTTTCATATAGTGTAAAAATGTACATTCCGCACTGGCATGTGGTCGATATCAGGATCTGGAGCTCCACCTCAGCTGCCAGGCAAATGTTTGGCTGGCGTAGAAGAGAACGATGGGACACAATTGGACGACCTGTTTGCTTTTTCGTCCCCAGTCGCACAAATTACAACTAATTCGTTAAGCCAACTGCTTGCTTGTCTATCTGGCACCGATTTTAACCATGTTTATTTTTCCCCGTTTCTCGGCCAATCAAAAATCTCCGTGCGTTTTAGGTGTGGTTTCAAAACGCCAGAGCCAAGTATCGGCGGTGGGGCTCACTGGCCGATTCGCTTGATGCTGACCAATGTTTCACTCCCCTTAGCCAATCAGACTCCCCCGATGCTACCACCCACACCACCTCGGACACCGAGCCCGTCTTCGCCTCAATCAGGGACATATTCCCACGAAACAGAGGCTCGGACAATCCAACATCGGCATCGACAATGGAGGACTGGTTTCCCGACAGACTGCAAGAATGGCAACAGCAGCAGCAGACCATAACACCCGCTCTGCAAGATTCTACTCACCTCGGGGGATGGATATTTGGAGTGTCAGCGGAGATTCAGACGACGAACCTTCCGATTCAAATGACCTCCTGACAGAGCCAAGTAGCCTTAGTTACTTGAAGAACCGTCAAAGTAGGTATAGACAGATGTGAGAAAGTACACTCGATAGGGATCGCAGGAGGAGGTGGAAGAAGAACGACGGAAGAGTGTGGACAACAATATTACAAACGCCAATTTCAATAAAACAGCGCATTGAAAAGTTTGAATGTGTGCATATTTTCTAACATTCGAAGGGCATGACATGCAAATCCTGGCATGATCTGAGGGGCGAAGACTGCGTTTAAAATGGACATCATCTTCGTATACAGGACCTACTACGGCAAGCCTAAAAAAAATATCGAGGTAGAGCCTGGAAGTTTTTAGCTGCCAGATTTAGTGCACTCTTGTCACGCTTTGAAATCTACAGTATTTGATGTGTTTCACGGAAGGTGCCGAAGTTTACGAACGATCACAAGCTGGACGAAAATTTTGAACTAATTATACAAAAGAATGGAAAAAATAACACGAATCGTAAAAGTGGAGTGGAACAGTGGAGTAAACACCCGCATTCAGTAGTGAAGGCAACTCCCTACAGTTGTTCAAACAACGTTTGGATAATCGCACGTGTCCCCCGTTGTCCCTCGAGAGTATAAGCTCGAACTAGAACCACATGAACTCAATACAAGAGTTATTTGTAAAAAGAACACTAGTCACTGTTTGTCAGTACTATTTTAATAGTGACTATCTTACGCGTACGTGTACAGAGGTATGACGTACCCGCACGTAATCAATAGGGTTTCCAAAGGTATTGTCTAGTACCCTTAGCAATCTAACTGAAAAAATTACCATCATTGCAGAAAATCGGAAAATTCCGAAGAATGTCAAAAATCGTCCCGGATGGGTAAATGTAACTGTTAGATGTGCAGAAAACCTGTCCATCCAAAAGCAAACGAGCAAATGAAACAGCAAAAGTAGCAAGACCGTTGGAAATTGACTTTCAGTGAAGCTTCTTCTTAAATATCCTTCAAAAATAAGTATTACATAACGTCAGGTATGGCGGTCAGCCAACGGCATACACTCCAAGCATAGATACCAATACGGTTTCACAAAAACTGACCGCATTTTTTCGATTGCGATTAACCAGGGCATACCGGTTTACGCCCGATTTCACTGACAGGGACGTCGCATTAAGAAAACGTTCCCTAACTTCATATGTTTGCGAGCCGGTTAACAACTTATACATTTATCTAGAATTGTCGTCTCGACAGACTTCTTGAAATAGTTGGCCATAAGTCGATTGACTGTTTTCCTTTAGTGCCTCGACGTATTTTCAGGTTAGTTTAATTGATGGAGAGGGATTAACGCCTTCAAACTCCCCATCTGTCACAAAGGTCTAAGAAAAAAATCAGCGATAGATAAGGCAAGCAGAAAGAAAACGCGACATGCAAGCAGCAAGTCACCTCCAACTAAAGAAACTGCTCCAGAAAACATTATTAAACATTGAAACCTACTTATTTATCACGAGTAATATAATCAAATGTAATTTAAATGATACGCAGAAGGCCCATGAACTATGTGCGTCACAAACCACCCCGATAGGGGGGGGGTGAAGCATGTGTAGAAGTCGTCGAGCATGTTTTAAGCGAAAGTACGATGGGGACAAGGACGCGTGATGTGCTACAATGACTTATTTTCATTTCATGATGACTGGGCTCGATTTACCAGCGAATTTTCAGACAAGGAATCCATTTGCCCAGCATCTTAGATCCGAATTACCAACGAGATCCAAAGAAGACGGAGACGACAAGAACGCTAAAACAATATATATTAAAACAACTCTACTAATAAAGATAAAATAGCCAAAAATGTAACATTTTACAAAAAGAAAAAAACGCAGTGAAACGGCGCATGGTTAAACAAAAAGGAAAGGACGACGGGCGACTTCTAAGACGACGAGTGAGTGATCTAGTGAACGGAAGACGGGTCTAAAGTAGCCGCTAAAGGCGCGCACAGAGTCCTCGGGAGAGAGGTCGGAGATGAAGGCATATGTGCAGGGACTATCACCTCGGTCGGAGAACGCAGGGTCTTGCAGATCCCAAATCTCCGACGGGCTACAGCCCGGCCCCGCATGTGGATTTATGCACCATCCTCGTTCTACCACAACGAAATCCGCCTGATATGGAACAAGAAAAAAAAGGGGAGAAATGGTAGGGTTATCAGGCAAAAGGAGGAAGTGTAATGGTCTATTAGACAGAAGATGGAAATGGAAAGGACCTGTTTGCCATGAAACTATAGCCAGTGTTTAGGGTTGACAACGGTCAGTTGATTGGTCCGCTGAAAGATGAGATATCCAACTAGTACAGAAAAAATCGATAAACGCCTCGAGTGTGCGCTAATTCGTTGCGTCAGCAATGACCATCTGGCCCTGCGGTGTTGGCATAGGATGATGTGGTGGTCTGTCTGTTCCCCGAGCGGCGACTTGCTTTGGGCAAATTTAGTCTCAACACCGAATATGGATTGGGCAAGTTGCTGGAATGGGGGTCCGTGAACAATGACGCAAGTAATTCTCGGCTCACCCGATTGTCACCTCCTGCGAGAATTTCGTCCTCATCAAATTTGAATGCGTGGCCGGGTCTCGTCGACTGAGCCGGAACTTGAGTATTGGCATCCTTTCGCCGCACTGCTGCCGCGTGTTCGACAATTTGCGTCTTGAGAAGTCTGTCAGTTTCTCCGACATAGCTGTTTTGCCCGCAACTGAACGAGATCCTGTAGGCAAATCGAGATGTTTCTTGCTGTGGCAGTGGATCTTTCGGTTTCATTATCTGACGCGTCCAAACATGGTCAGCAACAGTAGTTTATGTAGGCCTACTCATTAAGTCCCAGCATTTTCTCCAAAAAACGGTGGTCATAGGGTTTTATGGGTGGGGAAGTAGGGTGGGCAGTGGAGTATACTTTAATAACAGCTATATGCATTTTACATCCTGTATTTATAAATGTTGTTTATTTAGAGCTGTTGATTTTCCGAATATTTATTATTGCTTAACGTATTGCGGAAAAACCCGATTGTCAGATTGTAGGTTTCTTGAAATCTTTCAAGAACATAGAGATGGTGGTTAGGAGGTCGTCTACTTCAACTTACCTGAGGTCAAATTTACCGTTCTGGAGTTAGATTAGTATAGTCGACCACGCCAAGCGCCGCGCACACCTTTAATTTACATGCGGAAGAGCTTATTCCCAGCGGCCGCAGGAAACAAATTCAGCTACATTTGTCCACTTTACACTTCTAAAAATTTCCTTCACTGCCTATCCTATTTCTCCACCCCCCAAAAACCTATAACCACAGTTTCTGAAGAAATAAATGTTGAGACTATGAGTATATGAGGTACATAACTCAAACAAATTTTGCCAAATGGTCTTCTACTGAATACTCAGAAATAAGTTCAGTGCGTCTTCCGATTGCGACCCTCTCCCAGTCCCAAATCCGAGGTATCCTCTCTCTCCGGTACCTTGATATTATTCTGACGTCCTATCTTTCCTTCTACCTTCACATGGAAAGTCTTTTCCCTAAAATTCGTAAACTTTTAAAATTATATATGTCACTTACGTTCTTATCAAACACCGCAAATCATAATCTGGCGATTTACAGAGGCCAGCATTCTCCCCCTCACTTTCTATTTTTCTCCCGTTATTTTATTCCATTTTGCTTAAACAGACTTGCTTATAGTCAAACGTATTTTGCAAATACTTTCATCAGCTGCCCGTGTTTTTTATGCCTATTTAATTGACATTATAACACAACGACTCTTCACAGCGGTCAAGCAATTCGCTGATCAAATTCTTGATTAGGTTGGCCATCCTCTCCATTGTGACCGAATGACTGCCAAATCCTCCCATCCGTAGCTTCCGAAATATTTCACGTATGAAGAAACTGAGATACAGAGGCTGTCTCCCTAAGTTAATTGTTAAATTCTTGCGTATTTTGTTAACTTATCCTCTGGTCTCAGTGGTCAATGGAGCGATTCTCACCGAAAATTTCAGATGCAACTTTCAAAATAAAGCGTATTTCTCTCTCGCTGTCTGACCTACAGACAGTAGCGTTTACATAGGTCATGTCAGACACACAGGTCGGACGGCTCACTCAGTTGACACTCAGGTACAACGGGAATGAA